CAGATTTTCAGCCTCTTTTTTTGAGGGGAAAAAGGTGCGTCTTACATTCTGAAAAATACGGTAGTTCAATTCATTAGAGTGAAGTTCTGTTCCTGACTTCTTGCCAAGTATTGTCTGCTACAGCATGGTGTTTGGAAGATATTGGCCTGGCAGCTCTCCAAGCCTGATAAAGGTCTGTAGTTGTGAAATCCCTTGAAAGACTGTTGGCCAGGACTTTGTTGGAGAGGAATTCACTTTAAACTAAATAAAAGAGGTTTTATCGGGACGAGGAGTCGGCTTTGTGCTTTTGGGAAGCCTAGGTCGGAACACAACATTAGAGAAGCAACCTAGGACTTTGGAAACATTTCCTAACGTGGAGTACAATCAACAAGTGGAACCAGCCTTCTTGTTAATTTTACCTACCTCATATACTTCTCTCTGCAGATCTCCAGAAACTTTTCCAGCTGGGTTGGAGTGATTCGGTCCAGTTGGTATAAAACATAGGGCTAAAGGGATGAAGATCCAGAACGATTACAAGTATATTCGATATATTGGACAATAATTGGCCGTTGTGTTCTCTACATATGGCTCAAAGGGTCAACAAATGTCTTATATTTCCTCAAGGTGCTTTGAACAGGGGCGTCAAGCTATTTTCCAAAATATCTGATGTCTGGGCAAGAAGTAACTAATCAAGGAGGGAACCAAACTAGAACTAATGAGGAATTTCTTGACATTTGAGAATAATTCATCAATGAAATGGCTTGCCTCCAGAAGTTGTGGGTGCTCCATCACAAGAGGATTTCAAGAACAGACTGGACAACCATTTGACCAGGAAGGTATAGAGCCATGACGGCGAACCTATGGCACACGTGCCAGAGGTTGCACACAGAGCCTTCTGTGGGCACATGCGCTGTTGTCAGGTTCTGGTCTCCAACGCACACATGTTTTTTAGTCAGCTGGTTTTCATGGGTGCTGGAGCGTTGGAAAAGGGCCTGAAAATGGCCAAAACCCACCGAAAAACGGCCCGAAAATGGCTGGAAAAATGGTCAAAAAACAGGCATGCATGTACTGGCTAGCTGGCCTTCAGGTTTCTGGTGCTTTCTTCTGCAAAAATCATCATTTAGCTTTGAGATTTTGGGAAAGTGTAAGGAATTGCCTCTTAAAAATATCTGAATTCTTATACATGCACTGGAAGGGTTTCAATCCCTCATGTTGAATCCCTAAAGGCCACATACATACATTGGGCAGAGAATTTAAAAGGAAGAGAGAAGTTCAGTATTAAAGCACCTGGATTTATTCAGGCCGTAAGATTCTCCTTTCCATCACTCAAACTGTATATCCCAAGCCACAGAAAGCACTCATTATGCAGATTACCTCAGTTGTGCCATTGTCATTGATGCCGTACTTGTCCCTTGTTTTCTTGATCTTTTCAGACATGCTTTTGATGAATTTTTTTATTTCCTGCAATAAAGAATAGCATGGATTTAGCTTGGTGTTTCATTTCTGCCAATTAATGACGGAAAGTCACTAGCAGCTTCCACAGGACATTAGGCTAGGAGAGGGAGAAAAAAAGTGATTAGGAGAAAAAAGAAGGTATCCTTCAAGTCAAACTCAGAGAGACATTGTGGCTCAGTAGCTAAGACGATGAGCTTGTCGATCAGAAAGGTTGGCAGTTCGAATCCCTAGTGCTGCGTAATGGAGTGAGCTCCCATTACTTGACTCAGCTTCTGCCAACCTAGCAGTTCTAAAGCACATAAAAATGCAAGTAGAAAAATAGGGACCACCTTTGGTGGGAAGGTAACAGCGTTCCGTGCGCCTTCGGCATTTACTCATGCCGGCCACATGACCACGGAGACGTCTTCCGACAGCACTGGCTCTTCAGCTTAGAAATGGAGCTGAGACCGCCCCCTAGACTCGGGAACGACAAGCACAGATGTGAGAGGGGAACCTTTACCTTTACAAGTCAAACTCAACCCCTGCTGACTTTCTAGGCACTGCAGTTTTCATGCCAACAATATAGAAGTGGTTTGCCATTGCTTCTGACTCTGTATACAGAATTTCTTTTCTACTTCCACATCCTAGCGAGATATGGTAGTCTCCCATCCAAGTACTACCAAGGTTGACCCTGCTCAGCTTAGTAGTCCTGAGTGAAGTCAGTGAAGTGCTGCCATCTACTGGGCCATACATAAAAAAAAGAATTAGAAAGTTGACCCGAAGTCTGAATTTCCTGCCACAAGAGCCAGTTTTTTTACATTGGTTTTGGGAAGCATCTAAGACGTAACATTCAGAAACGACCTAGCGAGCAGAAATAAAAGTATTATAGTTGTCTTTTCTTGTTTTGGGATTTTCTATTCTTATTTTACATTTTTCAAATGGTAAGAGGGAGATATAACGGGGAATGGAATGGAATAGAGGAGGGGAGGAGGAAGAGAAGAAGAGGAGATACCTGCTCCCCTGAAAATTAATATTGGGAAGCACCCAATGAAATGAATGGACCAGAGGAGAAGAGGAGGAGGAGGAAGAGAAGAAGAAGAAGAGGAGGAGGAGGAGAGAAGAAAAGGAAGAAGAGGTGGAGACACCTGCTCCCCTGAAAATTAGTATTAAGAAGCACCCAATGAAATGAATGGACCAAACCCACCCCTCTAATTTAATTCTGGACACACCGTAACTGCTACTAACTATGATTTGCTGGTTTACTCATTTATTTAATCACTGGATTGGCCCACTAAATGAATCTATCAGTCTGAAACTGAGCTTTGCGCATAAGTGCAAGCACACTCCACTCACGCTTCTTTGCCCTCTGCCTGCAAAGGTGGAGCTTTGTATGCACATGTGTGTCCATCTCGCCCAGTTTCGAAGAGGTAGTTTAGGCTGCGGCCTGGGCACCCCTGTTGTATCTATGCTTTTGTACCCTTGTTAACAGATTTGTTGTTTTTGTTTGTTGAGAACTGGGGGCAGAGCAANGTGAGATAGTTGTTAAGTGAGCTTGGCCCCATTTTACGACCTTTCTCACCACAGTTGTTAAGTGAATCACTGCCATTGTTAAGTTAGTCACATGGTTCTTAAGTGAATCCAGCTTCCCCCATTGACGTTACTGGCCAGAAGGTCGCAAAAGGGGATCACAGGAGCCCAGGACTCCTCAACTGTCGTAAGTACATGCCAGTTGCCAAGCATCTGAATTTTGATCAAGTGAGCATGGGGATGCTGCCACGGTCATAAGTGTGAATGATGGTCATAACTCACTTTTTCAATGCTGTTGTAACTTTGAACAGTCACTAAACAAACTGTTGTAAGTTGAGGACTATTGTAAAGAGTTTGCAAACACGGTTAGCCCCTAACCACAATTGAGCCCGATTGTTGCCAAGTGAAACATTTCTTAAATGAGTTTTGCCCCATTTTACGACAATTCTTGCCACCATTGTTAAGTGAATAACTGCAGTTGTTAAGTTTGTTGCACGGTCGTTAAATGAATCCTGCTTCCTCATTGACTTTGCTTGTCAAAAAGTCACAAAAGGGGATCATGTGACCCCGGGACACTGCAATCATCATAAATACAAGTCAGTTGTCGAGTGTCCGAATTTTCCTCAGGTGAACATGGGGATGGTGCAACGGTTATTAAGTGATAAATGGTCCTAAGTCACTTTTTTCAGTGCTGTTGTAACTTTGGATGGTTGTTAAGCAAACGGCCATAAATCGAGGACTACCCGTATATACAACGAGCTATTTAGTTGTTAAGAAACACACTATACCTCTCCCAGAAGTGTCTTTTCTATTCTTCCTTTGACTAAACGAGCAAAATCAGGATCATCATCTATGTCGAGATGGGCAGTGATAATTGGTGTGCTATACAGAAGCAAGAAAAGCATAAATGTGAAATGGTTTATATATATATGTGTGTGTGTGTGTATACAGTATATAGTATAAGTAGACATTTTATAATTCACGCAACAAAAAGTGCAAAACCAGTGCAAAGCAATATATGCTCTCCCTCTTATTAATGTTCTTAATGTTTTATATATAAATTACATCAACTTTAAATAGATGCCCTGCTATCTCTTAATGTTTTTAAAGTTATATAAAAATTATGTCAACTTTAAATAGATGCTTTGCTATCTCCTAGCGTGGTACTTAGAGCAAGTATCTTTTAAGACTGATCCATCACAGAATTTTAAAAATTAGTGATTCTTTTAAAGGCCTTGTTTGAAATTGGAAAGAACTGGCAAGAAAGAATGGGCTAAGGCAGGACTAGAACTCACCATCTCCTAGCAATTGACCCAAAGTCATTCAGTTGGCTTTCATGGCTAAGGTGGGACTCCTGGTGATTGGCCCAAAGTCTCCTGGTCTCCTGGTGATTGGCCCAAAGTCACCCAGCTGACTTTAATGCCTAAGGCGGGACTAGAACTCACAGTCTCCTGGTGATTGGCCCAGTCACCCAGCTGGCTTTCACGACTAAGGCAGAGCTAGAACTCACAGTTTCTGTTTTCTAGCCCAATGCCTCAACCACTAGATCAAACTGACTCTCAATTTTTTTCTTACTAACTTCCCTTGGTATAAAAGACCTTTTAAAAAAAATATTTGGAGCCCAGGTGCTTTTTTATTGATGTGTGTATCTCCTTCCTACTAAAAAAAAACCTCAAAGTGCTCTCCATGATGTTCTACTCCAGGGGTCTGTAACCTACCGCTCTGGAGCCACATGGGCTCTTTCATCCCTCTACTGCGGCTCCCTGTCACTCAAAATCTGCGTCACAACCACCAATGTGCGATATCCACCAGCATGCGATTTGAGGTTTCCGACCCATCTTCAAAATGTTTGTGTCGCATGCAGAAATAAAAATTTGCTTTCTCTGTAGCAGCTCATTGATTTCATAAATGCAACATCCTATCGTTTTTTTTTTTACATAGCCTAAAGGTAAAAAAATTATATATGCAGTGCTATCTTCATTTTAGATGTCCAAAGGGTTTAGTGGCTCCCAGTGTTTTCTTCTCTGTGGGGAGACGGGTCCAAATGGCTCTTTGAGTGTTTAAGGTTGCTGACCCCTGTTCTACTTCAATAACTGTACATTTTTTTTTTAAGGCAAAAATTGGAACCGAGACAGCCAATTATGATCCAGGACCACTTCTGTAGCCAAGGTACCTGATGGCTTTGGAGGCATTGATGATCTCTTTGATCCTTGGCACTCCTAATGTGATGTTCATGGAGGCCACACCAGCAAAATGGAAAGTCTTCAGAGTCATCTGTGTGCCGGGCTCGCCGATGCTTTGCGCACAGAGGGCTCCCACTGCAGAGCCAGGCTCCATCTGTGCCCTAAGATATGGGATTCAAAGAAACATTGATTTTTGTTCATTCCACAGCTTTCGATTTCCTTGACACTTTGTGGTTGCATTGAAAATACCACTTTATAAATGCCTTGGTAAGGCCACACTTGGAATGCTGCATCCAGCTTTGGTCACAACAATGTAAAAAAGATGTGGAGACTCCAGAAAGAGTGCAGAGAAGAGCAACAAAGATGATTAGGCAACTGGAGACTAAAACATATGAAGAATGGTTGCAGGAACTGGGTATGTCTAGTTTAATGAAAAGAAGGACTAGGGGAGACATGATAGCAGTGTTCCGATATCTCAGGGGTTGCCACAAAGAAGAGGGCAGGACAAGAAGCAGTGGGTGGAAACTAATCAAGGAGAGAAGCAATTTAGAACTAAGGAGGAATTTCCTGACATAACAATTAATCAGTGGAACAACTTGCCTCCAGAACATGTCGAGGACTACCTATACAGGCATCCCAAAGATGCATGTTCAAAAGGCAACTGGACTTTGTTTTTCCTTAAATACGTTTTGCTCCTTGTCCAAGAAGCTTCTTCAGTTCTGGCTGAATGGTGGAGGATGGAAGGATTTATATTAAACCAGGTGACTGCAAGGAATATAAATCCTTCCCCTGGTGCACCAGTTGCGTCCCTACCTGGACCGGGAGGCACTCGCAACAGTCACTCACGCCCTTGTGACCTCAAGACTGGACTACTGCTATCATGTCTCCCCTAGTCCTTCTTTTCATTANTAGATAGATAGATAGATAGATAGATAGATAGGTAGGTAGATAGGTAGATAGATAGATATAGATTAGATAGATAGATATAGATTAGATACAGATACAGATACAGATACAGATACAGATACAGATATAGATTAAAAAAATGGAAGATGGGTTGGTCATTTCTATCTTCACGATATTTTTTAAAATTTCAGGTTTAGACTAGGGCTTTTTGATTTTCATTTCAAGTAATATCCAGGTCTGATCTCGCTTAGCTTTTGTGTCTTATTTTCTATTTTATTTTTGGGGGAGAAAATGCCATGAAAATATAAAATAGTAGCCATACAGTGATTATCCAGTCAGGAAAAACTATATGTAATTATTAAGGTGAGCTAAAACTGAAGAGAAAAAAGTTTCATGTAATGATAGCAATTCCCTTAAGGTGTTATTAAATGTGGATGTTATAGAAGTAAACATCATTGTTTCATTTTAACAATTTTAAAAACATTTCCAAAACATCAAATCACACATCATGAATTCACTAATTTGCTAAAGTCAGCCAGACGCCTACAGTGACTTTGCTCCACAGATTAAATTAAGGGAAGCCAACTAGTAACCAGAAGCTTCACTGGAACCTTTAGTGTCTCCTCCAGCTCTTGCACACATGCATTTCCACCCTATCTCTTTAGTGTCTCCTATAAACAGGGCAAGGTTTGTGTGCTGCTTTCCAACAAGAGGAACAACTTTTTTTCTTTCTTGGATGAGACTGAGTGCCTGGCAGTCCCTCTCTACCCAAAATGCAGTCCTGTAAAGCAGCCATCTGACAATGGTAGATCCTGCACACCGGAAAAAAAGAGAACAACCCTCTAATGGAGGAACCAGATCTCTTCCTCCTTGCTGGTTATGCGGAGATGTGGAAGAAGAGGTGCAATATCACTGCAAAAAGAGCTGATTAAAGGAGGATTAGGTGGTGGAAGTGAATTAAATATCCTATATAAATATTAGAAGTGCTGCCTACAACTCTTAGATTTTTAAAGTGCATTTTTAGAAAAGTAATTTAAAATTCTCTGTATATTCTAACACCTTACTGTAGCACTTTGCATAATAGACACTAGATGGCAAAATTGGAATCTATAAAACACTATTTTACATTAGGAAAACGAATCCTCGCTGTTTATATATTCTGAAGAGCATAAAAAGACCACTTCTAGATCAGGGCAAGTTTTTTTTTCCACAAAACAATTTTAGATGGCAATGTTCCATACTGAATCTTCACAGTTAAATTTCCATGTTACGTGCTAAAGGAACCAGTTCTTTTCAACCTCTGTCCTGAGGATAGGAGAGCAATGACTTTATTTAGAAAGCTTATATTGCCATTTATCATATCTACTTCCTCCTCTTGCAGTTAATGTCATATTGGTATACAGAAACCATTTATTAGAAATGACAGTTTGTAAGTAGTTCCTCCTTTTCTGAACATACTATATATTGGATGTAATGTTTCGGTTTTGTTTGGAAGATAAAAAGAGGCATAATGCTTGTTTCAAACCAACATTTTGTAATTCTGGAATTCTACCATCTCTCTCCTCCATTAGAGGTACTGTATATATACCCATATGCATGTTCATATTATTTGTGAGAGGAAATAAGAAAGAAGTGGGAGGTGCAATGTATCTCACAAAATGACACTAAAAAGATCTTCCCCAAACCTATGGCAATCCACACCTTCAAAGATTTGGATTTTTCTTCTGGGTCTTTCCCCCCAGTTATCTTCATTAAGATAAGGGGGTATGGAAAAAAGGTAAAATATGGATTACTATCAAAAGCTGACACTATTATCTGTGGCAATGCTAGATAAAACCTAGGACACTGGCTAAGTTCAGGAAAACAATTTGCCTACTTAATGCCACTCTCTGTTTTTCAAATACAGCTAGAGTGGATAGTTTATGGTTCACAGGATTGTGCAAACCCAGGAATTAAGTCACTGAACTATGGTTGCATTGTCCATGATTTAGCAAGTTGGGCAAATCTAGTCTGTCTACAAAAATGAAAGGACTGTTGTGTTCAAAATACAAGTACAAATGCACTGCAGCAACCCACAACACCAGAAAAAGGAAACAAATCATCTATATAACATCTTCCAACAAAATGGATACCCATTTAACTTTATCAAAAAGTGCCTGACTACTTAACCCACTACACAGCATAAGTAACAGAGGAGGATTCCTACCGGTTCGGTCCGGTTCGCCCAAATAGGTAGTAAAAATCTGGCGTACCTTTCCGAATCGGTAGTAATGGCAGCCTGGCCATGCCCCTGAACCAGTTCCCCGGTCACCGCTTGCTCGCCCCGCCCAGTCTCTGCTCTGCAGCTTGCCTGCCTGAAGCGCTGCGCCCCTGATTGTCTGCCAGGTAAGCCTGTGGGTCATGGTTTAGCTTGCTGCCCCTGCCCCCTTCCCCATGGCCCTATCAGCTTGTGAAGACAGGCAAGTGGAAGGCTGCATGGAAGGCAGGGAACCATGGCAGGACTGTGGGGAAGGGAGCAAGCAGCCTACTTCCTTCCCCACAGCCTTCCCATGCTTCCCTGCCTTCCACGTGGCCTTACCAGTGGTCCCCCATGCCCACTTGCCTTCTGAGGTCAGCGTCCAGCCTGGCCAGCGGGTGAGTGGGCGGCCCTTGGTGGAAATACACTGTGTTGGGGCTGAGAGGGGCGGTGGCAGCGATGCTGCGGGAGGGCAAGCGGACATCCTGGGGCTGCTGCGCATGCACCTGCTCCATTTATGTAATGGCAGAGCCTCCCCCCCCCCCACACTGCAGGCCAATCCAAAGAGGGGGAGGAGGATGCTGCAGAAAAGGCTGCTTTCCACCCAGGCCCACGTGCCCCACGTATCAGCTCCGTGGGTCTTCGGGCTCCAAAGCAACCCACTGGCTCCCCACCCAGCCACCTGTCTTCTCCTTGGCTGCGCCGCCGCTTACCGCCGCTTACTGCTCTTGGAGGAAGGAGGCAGAGATGCCAGCATGGGGTTTGCTCCCCTTACCGCCCCCTCCTTGCCGGCTGCAACTTGGGCCCTGCCTGTCCTGCTTAGCCGGGCGGCTGTCCGGGAAAGCAGTGAGGGGACGAGTGGCGGTAAGGGAAGCAAGTCTCTGCCTCCTTCTTCTGAGAGCCATGGCAGCGGGAAAAGTGAGGCTTCCCTCACAAATTTCCATGGTTCTGTGGGCATGAATNGAAGGAAAGAAACAGCTGAAAGGGCCTGAATGCCTCTCCCATCATTCTATCTGATTTAGAGGAATGTCGGTCATTTAGCTATGGTGGACTTCACTTTCAATTCAACATTTTAAAAGACAATGCTTTGCTAAGAGCTTGGAAAAGGGGAAAGGAGAGCTGGTCCTTCTGAAGGTCCACACTTTTGAAGTATTCAATACAGGTAGTCCCCAACTTACAAGCATAAATGACTCCCAAATTTCTATAGCTAAGCAAGACAGTTGTTAAGTGATTTTTGCCCCATTTTATGATCTTTCTTGCCGCAGTTGTTAAATGAATCACTGCAGTTTTAAGTTAATAACATGCTTGTTAAGTGAACCTGGTTTCCCTATTGACTTCGCTGGTCAGAGGGTCGCAAAAAGTGATCACATGACCCTGGGACACTACAGCTGTCTAATGCATGCCAGTTGCCAGCATCCCAAGTTTGATCATGTGACCATAGGGATGCTGCAATGCTGTGAAAAACATTGATAAGTCACATTTTTCAGTGCCATTGTAATCATAACTTCAAACAGTCACTAAACTAATGGTTGTAAGTTGAGGACTACCTATACAATAGATTGTCAAATAAAAGGTTTTGCCGCAGGCCAGGTAACTCTCAGAATAAAATGCCCATCCAAGGCAGCTCCAAGTCACACCAGGCCTTCCCTCTGGAAGTAACTTCAGAAAATGCTCTTGAGTCTTGACTAGCCTTGCAACCTCCAAAAAGAACAGGAAAACTCTGGTGGCTTTTATTTTTTTCCCCCCATTCATATGTTGTATTTTCCCTCTCTTTTATGTCTCTTCTTGAAACAGTTCTCAGGAGTTCTTGGACGAGGAATTTTCTATCACCTCAGCTGAAGAGAAAGGGAAGGATCCCTCTTTTGAATACGACATAGGGAGAGATGGTAAGAGTTTCCCCCAGGGGAAACATTTTCTTCATATTTTCTAGCCCAGTGATGGCAAACCTTTTTGGCCCCGAGTGTCGAAAAGGGAACACTTCCCGTACTCATCTGGGCCGTGACCAGGAAGAGGAGCTGCCCAGGGGGCACGCACACGCCAGAAAATGTACTTCCGGTTTCCGGCATGCACATGCGCACCAGCCAACAAGTCTTCTGGTTACTGCCATGTATGCACACATGCCAATCAGCTGGCTGGTGGATGCCAGAAAACAGAAGGCCAACTCTTTCAGTTTCCAACACTGCTGCATACACAAAGGCCATTTGATCAGCGTGTGCACATGCGCTCCAGAAACCCGGAAAAGGAATGGGTGATGCCGCTCATGCCAGGTGACATGGCTCCATGGGCCACTTCAGGCACACGTG